TGACTTTTCAATTAGAGGGTCTTTTCCTGAAATTGTAACATTAACAACAAAATATTCATTTAGTAGTAATGTATGTTAAGAACTTTTATGATTTCTTCACATGGTTTAACTCATTCAATCTTACAGTCACCTTATGAGGAAAGCAGTATTGTTAATTGATTTTCTTTCTTTTAACACCTTATCTGAGATATAGTTTACAGATCAAACAATTGAACTCTTTAGAGTGTACAGTTAATGATTTTTAGTACATTTACAGATATGTGCAATCACCATCAAAGTGATTTTTACAACATTTTGATCTCACATAATTTTGTTATCATACTCCAATCCATTCACCTTTGCCTTGGCCTTTGTTTTTGTTGTTATTAGGTGCTATAGAGTCAATTCTGACTCATAGCAACCCCACGCACAACAGAACAAAACACAACCCAGAGCGACTTTCTCTTTTTCGCTGACCATTCATTTTATGTAGAATGATGCCCTTTTACACTAATTGGTCTCTACTGATAATATGTCCTAAGTATGAGAGACAAAGTGCTTCCAAGGAGTACTCTGGCTGTATTTCCTACAAGACAGATTTATTTGTTCTTCTGGCAGTCCGTGGTACTTCCAATATTCTTTGCCAACACCATAATTAAAATGCATTTATTCTTCTATGGTCTTCTTTACTCATTGTCCAACTTTCACATGAATATGAAGTGACTGAAAATAACATGCCTTCAGTCAGGTCCACCTTAGTCCTCAAACTGAAATCTTTGTTCTTTAACACTTTAAAACATGTCTTTTGCAGCTGATTTGCCTAATGTAATACGTCGTTTGAGTTCTTGACTGTTGCTTCCATGAATGTTGTTTGCAGATCCAAGCAAAACAAAGTCTTTGACAACTTCAGTCTTTTCTCCATTTATCATGATGCTATTTATTGATCCAGTTTTGAGGATTTGTGTTTTCTTTACATTGGGGTACAATCCATACTGAAGGCTGTGGTCCTTGATCATCATCAGTAAATATTTTAAGTCCTCTTCACTTCAAGCAAGCAAGGTTGTATCTTCTGCATATTGCAAGTTGTTAGTAAGTCTTCTTCCAATCCTGATGTCACATTATTCTTCATCCAATCTGGTTTCTTGGATTATTTGCAGAGCATACAGGTCAAATAAATATGGTAAAAGGGCATAAGCCTCGTTATTATATTTTCTTGATTTTAAACCATTCCTGATTTTAATTGAATATCTTTCTAATTTTAAATAATTTCTTATTTTAATTTAATACCTTTCCTGATTTTAAACCTTGTTCTTTTTTAACAACTACCTCTTCATCTATATACAGGTTCCTCAGGAACGCAATGAAGTGTTCTGAAATATCTATTCTTCTCAATGTTTTCCAGAGTTTGCTATGATCCACACAATTAAAAGCTTTTGCATCGTCAATAAAGCACAAGTATCTTTCTGATAGTCTCTGCTTTCAGCCAAGATCCATATGAAGTCACCAATAATATCCATGGTTCCATATTCTCTTCTGAATCTGGCTTGAATTTCTGGCAGTTCCGTGTCAATGTACTGTTGCATCCATTTTTAAATTATGTTCAGCAAAATTGCATTTGCCTGTGACATTAATTATATTGTTTGATGATTTCTGTATTTCATTGGATCACCTTTCTTTGAGATGGGTACAAATATGGCTCTCTACTTATCTGTTGACCAGGTAGCTGTTTTCCAAATTCTTTGGAGATAGTGAGCACCTCCAGTGCTGCCTCAGTTTGTTGGAAGATTTCAATTTGTATTCCATCAGTTCCTGAAGTCTTGTTTTCCACAAAGCTTTTAGTACAGCTTGTACTTCCTTCTTTAGTACCGTTGGTGTTTTTGAACTGAAATGGTTTGAGTGATTTCTTTAGTTTTTTATTGTGAATTGAATGATAGTTTACATGGGAGAATATTGGTTTTATACTCATTTTATTGCAATGATGACAATTTTGCATCACCATTCAATAATATTTGCTTCTATTCCTTGTGTGTTTTTTTGGGGGGGGATTATGGAGGGTGTGTGGAAGTTGTACACAAAAACTCTCAGGAATGCATGATCATTTAAACAACCAAAGGACAGATTCTGCAAGCCTGCTTCCTGGCTGCCAGCCCACAGCGTTTCTCTTTCCATGAGTGTAGAGTCCTCAGCTGCTCTCTCAGTCAGTGTTCTCAGCTCTGCCTCTATCTCTGGTGTCACTGTATTTTTGGATAGGGTCCCACATTCTGCTCGTGCTCTTCTTCCTTGATGGTCCTCTGTTCCTGTAATGTAAGATTAACTACTCTCCCCTTTATGTTACAAAACTTCTACTTCTACAGTTGTGACAATCACTACCTCTTGAAAGGGTTGAATATCAACCATTTCTTTTTGGTACAATGACTCCATGCATACCTTTCAATTGTGTGTGTGTGTGCTTTTTGCATCATTTAATCTTTTACCCATAGAATCCTTCAGTATTGTAACCTGAGGCTTGAATTTTTTTTTTTTTTCAGTTCTTTCATCTTAAAAACTCTGAGTGTTCTCTTTTGCTTCTCTAACGCCAAGTCTTTACCCATTCCATTATAATATTTCGCATTGTCTTCTTGAGCTGCCCTTTGTAATGTTCTGCTCAGCTTTTTCAGTTCTTCACTTCTTCCAGCGTCTCTACACTCAAGAGCAAGCTTCAGAGTCTTTTCTGACATCCATTTTGGTCTTTTCTTTCTATCTTGTCTTTTTAATGATATTTTGCTTTCATCCTGTATGATGTTCTTGATGTCATCGCATAACTCTTCTGTTCTTCTGTCACTAGTGTCTAATGCATCAGATGTATTCTTGAGGTGGTCTCTAAATTCAGGTGGGATATATTCAGTGTCATATTTTGTCTCTATTGTAGGCAATATTCTTCAGTTTCAGCCTGAACTTACATATGAGCAATTGATGGTCTGTTTCACAGTCTGCACCTGGCCTTGTTTTGGCTGAGGATATTGAGGTTCTCTACCATTTCTTTCCACAGATATAGTCAATTTTATTTCTGGTGAAGTCCATGTAAAAAGATATTTGTAATGAATAAGTCATTGGTCTTGAATAAGTCATTGATTTTGAAAAAGTCTATTATGCGATCTCCAGCATCATTTCTATCAGCAAGGCCATATTTTCCAGTGACTGGTCCTTCATCTTTGTTTCCAACTTTCACATCCCAATAAGCAGTAATCATCAATGTATCTTGATTATGTATTCGATCAATTTCAGACTGAAGAAGTTAGTAGAATTCTTCAATTTCATCATCATTGACTTTAGTGCTTGGTACACAAATTTGAATAAAGTGGTATTAACTGGTCTTCCTTGAAAGTGTATGGATATCATACTATCAAAGACAGCATTGTACTTCAAGATACATCTGAAAATATTCTTTTATACAATGAATATGACAACATTCCTCTATTTAAAAAATTTCATAAATTTTTCATTCCCAGCATAGTAAACCATATAATGTCAAATTCAAAGTGTTCAATACCAGTTCATTCCAACTCACTAATGCCTAGGGTATCTATTTTTATGCATTCCATTTCATTTTAACAACTTCTAACTTTCCTAGATTCATACATCATACATTCCATGTTTCTATTATTAATGAATGTCTGCAACTGTTTCTCCACATTTTGAGTTGTGCCCCATCAGCAATTGAAGGTCCAAAAGCTTTGCTCCATTCATGTCACTATGGTCAGCTCTACTTTGAGGAGTTAGCTCTTCTCCAATTGTATTTTGAGTGCCTGCTAACCTGAGGAGCTCATCTTCCAGCACTATATCTGATGATGTTCTGCTACTGTTCATAAGATTTTCATCTTCCGGCACTATATCAGCAATGCCCAAGTGATATTCATGTGGTTTTCAGTGCCTATTCAGACATAGTCTTCCTTGTCTGTCTTAGTCTGGAAGCTTGACTGAAACTTGTCCACTTTGCTGGCATTTAAAATACTGATGGCATAACTTCCAGCATCGCAGAAACACACAAGCCACCACAGTACTACAATGTGACAGATGAGTAGTGGTACCTTGGCTTTAGATAATCACTAAACTGCCTATCTCTCTATATCCATTTCTTTGTTCTGGGCATTTTATATGAATGGGATCATATAATATTTGGTCTTTCATGTCTGGATCTTTTCACTTAGCATATTTTCAAAGTTCATCCATGTTATAACATAAATCAGTGCTTCCTTGTTATGACCAAATCATGTTCCTTTAAATGGATATGCCACAGTTTGTTCATCTATTCTTCACTTGGTGGACATTTGAGTTATTTCCATCTTTTGACTATTGTGAACAGTGCTGCTTAAAATATGAGTCTACATGACATGTGTATCCCTAGGAGTGGAGTTTATTTCTCTTAGGTATATACCTAGGAGTTGGGTTGCTGGGTCATGTAGTGAAGCTATGCTTAATAATTTGAGGAATTACCAGGCCCTTTTTCAAAGTAGCTGCACCATTTTACATTGCCCTCAGCAGCGTAAGAGAACTCTGATGTCTCCAAATTTCACACTTGTTATTATTTAGCTTCATGAGCTGCTTTTTATAAATGACAAAACTGAAACCCAGAAAAGCTAAGTGATTTGCCCAAAGCAACACATGTTTCAGAGCTGGGACATGAGCTGAGTCTGGCTTTTGTACCTGAACTCTTGATCATTGAGCAAATTATCTCTGTAGTTTATTCAAAAAATATTTAAGGGTGTCTCTTATATGGGAACACTGTTCTAGATACTGAATGGAGCTTTGCTTTCCATATGCTCTGGTTGAAGAGAAACTTGAGGCCCAAAATATAGCCTATTCAGCCTCCCATTGTTACCTGAAATGGCCCTTAAGGTATCTTGAGGAATCCTTGGGATCCACAGAATATAGATTGAGAAACAACTGATCAAACCACTTACCACATCATCTCCAGAGGATGACATTTTGTGCTATTTTGGCTATTCCAATGCTTTGTTCCAGAAATTGACCTTTCAATTTAGGTACAATATCCTGACCCAGCAAGAAGTTCAGAGTGTGTACGATGCCAGGTACTACGGGGGCCAGTGTGAGACAGTATACAATGGAGAATGGAGGGAGCTTCGATATGACTCTACCTGTGAGCGTCTCTACTATGGAGAGGATGAGAAGTACTTTCGAAAACCCTACAACTTTCTGAAGTACCATTTTGAAGTAAGTCTGGACTGGGATGTTCAGGCAGATAGATGCTTGTTGATGGAGATACCTTGCTTTTGGAGCTTTTATCTTTAGTAGAGCTTACTGGCAACTGCACATGCTTTCCCACCTGCCTCTACAGATCTCCTGTGTGGAAGGGCATGGAGAAGCAAGCATAAGACCAGTGAGACACAATGTCAATGTGGTCATGCACCTGTTAAATCTTAGCTCTCCAAACATAAATAGATCTCATTTTATCGTACTTAGAGTTACTGCAAGCACAGATACTATGTTTTTTTTGTTTGTTTGTTTTTTACAAATTGAAGATTTGTGGCAACCTTGTGCTGAGTCAGTCCACTGGTATCATTTTTCCAACAGCCTTGTGCTTACTTTGTGTCTTTGTGATACATTTGGTAATTCTCAGACTAGTTGTTGCTGTTGTGAAGTACTGTCGAGTCAGATCTGACCCATAGCGACCCTGTACAGGGTTTCCAAGGAGCAGCTGGTGAGCTTGAACTGCCGACCTTGCAGTTCAAACAGCTTTGCAGTCTGGCGCATTAACCCACAGCACCACACCAGGACTCCAGTTCTCAGAGTAGTTCCTCCTTTTTGTAATGCTGTTGCACACTCAGTGGACTACAGTACAGTGTAAATGGAATTTTCATATGCACTGATAAACCAAAAAATTCATGTGACTCACTTTATTGCTAAGGTTGCTTTAGTGTGGTGGTCTAGAACCTGCACTATCTCCCAAGTTTGCCTGTAGTATTTTATCAGAACCATCTTTATATATATTTGTGTATATAAATAAATATTTTAGCAGTGCTATAAACATATGGAAAAGAGTTTGATGGAATATGAGCTAGGCTGCTAACCACAAGATCACCAGTTCAAATTTACTAGTTGCTCCTCAGAAGAAAGATGAGGCTTTCTGCTCTCATAAAGATTTATAGCTTCAGAAAGTCTATAGAGGATCACTAGGAGTCAAAAACGACTCAACAACGCATACTACTATCATGATTATATGGAAGAAGTGTCTGGGTGCTACAAGCAGTTAAATGCTCAACTACTAACTGAAAGAGGCTCTATGGTAGCATAGTGGTTACGAATCAGGCTGCTAATCTCAAGGTTGGCAGTTCGAAACTACCAGCTGTTATGTGAGAGAAAATGAGGCTTTTTGCTCCCGTAAAGATTTGCAGCCTCGGAAATCCTGTACAGGGTCACTGTGAGTCAGAACCAACTCCACAGTACTTAACAACAACAACAACTAACTAAAAGGTTGGTGTGTTGACTCACCCAAAGGTGTCTTGGAAGATGAGCCTGGAGAACTTCTTCAGAAAGATCACAATTGTGGAATAGTTCTACTGTTCAAACTTGACAGCTGCTAATAACCATGATATGTCCACATTGAGAACATTGCTAATTTTGTATATGTTAGCAACTACCCATATGATGCCTGGATTAGCCTTTTAACAAAATTGCTTACAGCAGTCTGAAACTGTAGATATTTGACAAAGCAGAAATTTAAATATTGAACAGAGGTTTTATGTGCCCAAGGCTAACTTCTGCTTGCTTCTTTCCAGGCTCTGGCTGATACAGAAATTTCCTCAGAGTTCTATGATGATGTGAATAGCCTTCTTTCTGAAATGAAAAATGAAGATTCAGTTTCATGGGGATTGACCCTTGATATAGGTTTTGCATACTTCCCGATATCTGTGAAAGGGAATCTATGTAGATCAAAAGACTCTTCATTCTTGGAGAAGTTAAGCAAGTATAATGAGAAGGTATTAAAACATAATGCCTGTGTTGCCCAGTATTCCATAATCTACATGGAACACGTATTACCTTAATTGCATTAAAAAGTACAGTAGTAATCGAACCTTAATTGCTTGTGTAATTGGAAATGTCTGATCACTGGTAATCATGTTTGTTTTTCTTATTACGCTTTTGCACACAGAATCATCACAAAGGGAATAAAATTGAATGATAAGACAAGAACCCTGATCACTTCGCCCAATCCTTTTTCATGGTTACCTGGAGCATATAGTAAAATATTTAGTATGGTAATGTGTTAAAGAAAAAGAACCAGGTCTTTTAAATTAGAACTAAAAGAATGTTAAAGTAAGCTTTGGCTTACCAAGCAAGTAGAGGGGCTGGCAACTAAATTGAGTTCCTGCAGAGTCAAGAAATGCCTCCTTGAGGAAAGAACATCTGTATAAGTTGAGGTCTAAAGATGATACAAGTTAGACAAATAAAGGGAGAGAGAAGTTGATTGAAGGGTGTTCTAGACACAGGGAACAGTATGTGCAAAGGTCTGGAGATAAGAGAATGCCTCATACGAATTTGGGATTGAAAGGGCTTCAGCTCACTCAGGTACATACTGGACAGAAAAGTGAGGATTGTTGAGGATGAAGAAATTAATCAGATACAAGAGAACAATTAATTGAATTGATTTAAAATTTATAAAACAATTCTTAATGACATTGTTATCTGGACTGTGGATTTATTGGAAACAGGGATCCATTGATGTGCGGATTTATTAGAAAAAGAGATTCATTTTCTGAAAGAAGAGCTGGGAGTAGAATGCATCCTTTGGACCTGTGGTCCTTGCACTGTGAAGCTTCTAGATCTAGAAAAGGATTGATGTCAAGATACATTGTGAATTCCAAGGACTATTGGACCTACTGATGCTGAAAGGAGAAAAGGACCATTCCCTGAATCTGGACTCCTAGCCTCCTAAACTGTTACAAAAAAACATTTTGTGATATTTCTGCTACAACAGCACTAAGACAGAACTTGGTACTGAGAGTAGGGTGCTGCCCCTAACACATACCTAAAATGTGGAAGCAGTTTTGGAATTGGATAATGAGTAGAGGCTGGGAGAATAATAAGCTACTTACATTTCCTGGAAGAGACTATTGGTGGTGTTATGGAAGTCAAAGTCAATTCTGATGAGGGTTCAGAAAGAAGTGAGTAGAGAAGTAACACCAAAGATGGCACAGATGGTACGAAGCAGTAGCAGAGAAACTGTAGCTGCAGAACAAGGAGGCCAACACAAGACAGCATGGGAGTCCACCCATGGAGCGAGAAAGCAGAGTGCTTTCATGCATGAGGCTTCCTGGTGGAGGGGGGTGCCTCTAGTACTCATCAGTATGGCTGAAGAGCTTTGTGACACTTCTTGACCAGAGCAGAGATCAGGCTGGCCTCTTCCAGAGATCAAGAAACCAGGAAGCAGAAGATGAATAGACAAGGAACACAGAAAGCAGAGTTGCCGCATACTCAAAAGTTAAGACTATGACTTCTGGGTACTCAAAGGGTGAAATCATGACCTCTGGAGTTTCCAAGTGTGGTACCACCATGTTCTACGCTACACAGAGTGTGATCTTCATTACCAACTCAGTTCTGGAGTGTGGTACTACCATTAAGATGGGGCCTATGACCAAAGCTGAGGGACAGGGGCTACCATGTTTGGGACAGAAGTTCGGGGCCATCCAGTGTCAAGAGAGGAGGTCACCACTCAGATGGACTAGGAGAATGGCCACCCAAAGTTGCCATTCCTGTGGGCCTGGAGGGAAGAACTGAAGTCCAAGGTTGAGGGGTCTCTACCCAGAGTCCTCAGTGTATGGCCAACACCCAGAGTCTAGAGGGCAAACCATTGCCTAGGTGGTCTCGGAGAACACAGGAGTATTTTCAAGCCTTGAGAACTAATGCAAATTGTTCTGCAGGATTTCGAACTTGCTTGGTGCCTGTTATTCCTTCTTTTTCTAATTGCTCCTTTTGTAAGGGAAATGCCTGTTCCACCTTTGCATTTGGAAGCAGATAATTTATATTCCAGATTCACAAGTGAAAAGGAATGTTGTCTCAGGTTGAAATTTGAAGTTGATAGAATTTTGGAACAATGTGGCGCTGTAGGATAAGCACTCAACCATAAGGTGGGTTTGAACCACAAGTTTGACAGTTCAATCTCCACAACTGTTCCTCAGAAGCCCTTCACAGGTCAAAATGAGTCATGGTCAATATGAGTCAGGGTCAATATGAGTCAGAACTGAAGCAACAATAGCAGCAATATAATGGGGTTTGTGTGTTTTCACTTGTATGTGTATTAGTTGTATCATGTTAGGTGCAAGTATGAATTTATACATGTCTTTCTTTAGAAATTATGCATGGTTTAAGGAGAGATGAACATGTACTATACAGGGTTGTTTTGATAGTTAAGATTTTGTATCAACTTGGCTGGGCTAGAATTCTCAGTGGTTTAGCTGTTAAGATATAGTTATCAACTCCATGATGCAATTTAATATAGCACAATCAATACCATGATGCAATGAACCTGATACACTTGATGGTGAATTGGTATAATCTTTAATGTTGCTGTTTTGAAGACTCTGTTTTGACTCATAGCAACCCAATGTAGGATCTCCAAGGGGTGGTTGGTGGGTTTGAACCACCAACCTTGAAGTTAAAACGGATTCTGAGTTCCAGTACTTATCCTACAGCATTGTACCAGTGCTCCAGTGTTTAATGGATACATAATATTTGTGATTTGTGTAGGAAGCTGTGCAGTGTAGAGCTGTGATTAAAGAGCTGTGAAGGTGGGAATAGACAAGACGGGGTAGAAGTTGGGAGCAGTGAAGAAACCATTGTCGTAACTGAACCAGGGAAGAGCTGATGAGAACTTGACTTAGGCAATGGCAGTGGGAACAGAATGAAGACATGGAAGAAGAAGCCTGGATTCTGCCTAGATATATATTAGGCACCACTTGGTGTCCACTTAGTGGTGTCTAATATATACTTGTAAAATGTAATAATACCCCATTATATTTGTACTGATGTTATATTTATACTGATACCATGGTTGACATCAGATGAATCTTGGCTGAAAGCAGAGAATACCAGAAAGATATTTACCTGTGCTTTATTGCCTACCCAAAGGTTTTCAATTGTGTGGACTGTGACAAGCTATGGACAACATGGCAGAGAATGAGTATTCCAGAATACTTAATTGTGCTCATAAGGAACCTGAACATAGACCAAGAGATAGTTATTCAAATAAAACAAGGGAACACCAAACGGTTTAAAATCAGGAAAGGTGTGTGCCAAGGTTGTATTCTTTCACCATGCTTATTCAATCTGCATGTTTAGCACATAATCTGAGAAGCTGGATTATATAAAGAAACATGTGGCATCAGGATAGGAAGAAGACTCATTAACAGCTTGCATTATTCAACCTTGCTTGCTGAAAGCGAACAGAACTTAAAACACTTACGAAAATCACAGACAACAGCTTTTGGTATGGATTGCACCTCAATGTAAAATCCTCACCACTGGACCAATACATAATATTATGATAAATGGGGAAAAGATTGAAGTTGTCAAAGACTTCATTTTGTTGGGATCAACCATCAACACTCATGGAAGTAGCAGTCAAGAAATCAGACAACGTGTTGCATTAGGCAAGTCTGTTGCACAAGACCTCTTTAAATGCTAAAGAGCAAAGATGTCAGTTGGAGGACTAAGGTACAATCGTCCTAATTCATGGTATTTTCAATAACCTCATATGGTTGTGAAACTTGGACAGTGAATAAGGAAGACAATAGAAGAATTGATGCATTCAAGCTATGGTGTTGGAGAAGTGTTAAAAGTACCATGAACTGCCAAAAGAATAAACCAATCTATGTTGGAGGAAGTGAGCCATATACTCCCTGGAAGTTAGGATGGCCAGACTTCATCTGTCATACTTTGTACATGTTGTTAGGAGGGACCAGTCCTTGGAGAAGGATATCATGTTTGGTAAAATGGAGGGTCGGAGTAGACGGGGAAGATGGATTGGTACAGTGGTAACAGCAATGGACTCAAATGTAGCAATGACTGTGAGTTTGGTGCAGGACGGGGTAGTGCTTCATTGATTGTGTATAGGTCGCTATGAGTTGGTACTTACTCAATGGCACCTAATAACAATAACAATATTTATACCCAGGGGTCCTTGTGGTACAGTGGTTAAAGCACTCAGCTGCAGTTGGAACCCACCAGCCACTCTGTGGGAGAAAGATATCACAGTCTGCTTCCATAATGTTTTATAGTCTTGGAAACTTTGTGGGGCTGTTCTACCTAGTCCTATAGGGTCACTATGAGTTGGAATCTATTTGATTGCAGTGGGTTTAGGTGGGGAATATTGATATATATATGTGTGTGTTTGTGATATATGGAGTCCCTGGGTGATGTAAACAGTTAAGTGCTGGGCTACAAACCTTAGGTTAGTGGTTTGGGTCTAACCAGAGGCACTAGGGAGAAAGGCCTGGTGATTTATGTCAGAAAAATCAACCATTGAAAATCCTATGTGTTGAACACAGCTCTATTTTGACATTTATAGAGTCACCATGAGTTGGGGTCTACTCAATGGTAACTGACTTGCTGTGGTTTTCTGCTACAAGGGGGCTTCAAAAAGTTTGTGAAAAAGTTTTCATTACTTCTTATTCCATTTGTAGTCCTGGTGTGGATATGCATTGGACTGTTAACTGCAAGGCTGATGGTTCAGACGCACTAGCCAATCCTCAAAACCCTATACAGGGTAACTATTAGTAGGAACTGACTCAACAGCACTTAACAACAAATATACATATGGTGGTTGTCTGCCATGAAGTCAGCTCCATGTCAGCAACTCTGTATAGGATTTTTGAGGCTGTAAATCTTTATGGGAGCAGAACATCTTATCTTTCTACCCCCAGGAACAGCTGGTAGTTTCAAACTGCTGACCTTGAGGTTAGCAGCCCAACTTGTAACCATTATGATACCAGAATGCCTTGCTTCTTAAATGTATATGTTGTTGTTGTTAGGTGCCACTGAGTCAGTACTGACTCATAGTGACCCTATGTACAACAGAATGAAACACTGCCCTGTCCTGGGCCAACCTCACAATTGTTGCCACACTTGAGCCCATTGATGCTGCCACTTTGCCAATCCATCTTGCTGGGGGTCTTCCTCTTTTTCTCTGAACCTCCATCTTAACAAACATGATATTCTTCTCCAGCGACTGGTCTCGCCTGAAGTATATATGTGGTGGTGGTGGTTATGTGCCGTGGAGTCGGTTCTGACTCATAGCGACCTTGTACAGGGTTTCCAAGGCTGTAAATCTTTACGGGAGCAGACAGTCTCATCTTTCTCCTGCAGAACAGCTGGTAGTTTCGAACTGCTGACCTTAAGGTTCGCAGCCAGATTTGTAACCACTATACTACCAGAGCTCCTTGAAATATGTATGTAATTCTTGTTAAATATTTAAAGGTTAAGTACCGTCAAATCAGTTCTAACTCATAGCGACCCTGTATAGGGTTTCCCAGGAGTGCCTGGTGAAATTGAACCACTGACCTTGTGGTTCAAACTGACCTTGCAGTCCAGTGCTTTATCCCTTTATCCCACAGTGCCACACCAGGATTCTGAGTCTGTGTGTATATATGTACATATATATATACACACATATAGTTGTTGTTTAGTGCTGTGGAGTAAATTCTGACTCAGTGACCCTGTATAGCATTTTCAAGGAGTATCTGGTAGATTTGAACTGCCCATTGTGCAGTTTGCAGTCTAGTGCTGATCCTACAGTACCACACCAGAAGTATATATATATATATAAATTTAGTTGTTGTTAAGTACCGTGGAGTTGGTTCCAACTCATAGTGACCCTGCACAGGGTTTCTGAGGCTATAAATCTTTACAGGTGCAGAAAGCCTCATCTTTCTCCCCAGAATGGCTGGTGGTTTCAAACTGCCGACCTTGAGGTTAGCAGCCTGAGTCATAACCACTACACTACCAGAGCTCCATATATATGTATATATATTTGTTATTGTTGCTGTGTGCCGTGGAGTCGTTTCCGACTCATAGCGACCCTGTACAGGGTTTCTGAGGCTGCAAATCTTTACGGGAGCAGAAAGCCTCATCTTTGTCCCAGCTGTTCCACAGCTGGTAGTTTCATACTGATGACCTTGTGGTTTGCAGCCCAATTTGTAACCACTACATTACAGAGCTCGTTTTTTATATATACATATACTTCTGGTATCCAATATATATATAGTGCATTTATATATTCATATGAGGGAACTTCAAAATGTTTGTGGACAAATTACAGTATCCTGAATATGCATATACACACACACATGTATACTTCACTCAACTATTAAGTGTTGATCTTTTGTATCATCACCTATGTGCATTCTCTTTGTCTTTCCCCTCGTTCAGTGTAGGCTGTTGTTGTTGTTGGCAGAAATACGGCTTCATGAGAATTTTCACCAAGGTTCAGACTGCTCATTTCAAGATGAGGAGGCACAACATCGTACTGGATGAAGGAATGCTGGAGTCATTAATGGAGCTGCCAGAACAGTACAATTACGGCCTGTATGCCAAGTTCATCAACGACTATGGCACTCATTACATCACCTCTGGATCAATGGGTGGCATTTATGAGTATATTCTGGTGCTTGACAAAGAACATATGGCATCATCTGGTAAGTAGAGCAGAAGAGGTGTTATACACAAACATTGACCCACATATATACCAGGACCTGGTTTGCAATTTCCTGAGCCACACATGCTCTCATTTAATCTTTTTTTTGAGACAACCTGCCTTTTGTTTCTTCTACTGTTATTTATCTTTCTTTTTTTTTAATGTTGTATTGTGAATTATGTGATAGTTTACATGGGAGAACATTAGTTTTACATTCATCCTATCGTATATTGTTTCATTGCCATGATTACAATCCCCTCCATGCATCATCAACCAAACAAAAGGTATAACGGTATAAGCTGCAAGCCTGCCCCCCCCTCCCCGCTTCCCCCCCTCCCCCGGCTATTAGCACACAGTCCCTCTCCTTCTCTGGGTCTAAAGACCCCAGGTGCTCCATCTCTCCATGTCATCGTCTCTGCCTCCATCTCTGATGTTACTGTTTCTCTGTGTAGGGTCCCGCTCTCCACTCTTCTCCCTTGATGGTCCCAGGGATCTCCGCTGCTGGACTGCAAAGTCAATCACTCCCCTCCTTTTGCTACAAAATGTCTAGCTTTACATTTCCAACCCTCACAATCAGTCCTGATAACAATTATTCACTATTGTATCACAAGAGACCTATCCGTATTTCCTTTCATCATCTCCGCATAGACAGATTGGATATTACTCAGTGGAGATTCTACCTTCCTCCATGCCCTCTGGATCTAGGTTCCCTCTTGAAAGCTCTCATTTCATCTTAACATAGAAAATGTAAGTGTGATTATTTCTCTAGAACTGAGGTGCTGAAGGGTGAAATGACTTGCTAATAGATGCAACAAACAGGGTTTGAACTCAGACTTGCCTGTCCACCTAAACAATACAGTTTCTATTATATCACATTTACCTAGTTATTAATGAATCTTAGTGATTTTGTTATTTAAAATGTTAAAATCTGTGTTAAACTTTGGTTCTTGGGTAATGGAGCCATCATCCAGTCAGATCATTTAAGCCAGACATCTAGAGTCATCCCACATTCCTCCTTTGCTGAATGTTCATGTCCAAGGCCTTTCATTCTCTCTTGAGTTGCTCTCAGCCAGTCCATTCTCATGGTCACTCCTAGGTGGTAGGCTATTCATCTTTGACTTAATACTGCATCAGCACCTAAAGGGTCTCTGCTGACAGGCTCGTCCCTTCCATCCATACTTGATGATTGCCACCAGGGTGGACTTCCTACTTCACAGAACTGATGGCATTGCTCCTTGTATAACATTCTGGATGATCATTTTCCTGCTGAGAGGTTGGTGGGTTTGAAACCTCATCTGAAGGTTAGCAGCTGAATTAATGCTTATCCCAGTACCACCTAGACTCCTTCTTACCTTGGATGGTGGTGGTGGTGGTTTGGTGCTGCTGAGTTGGCTCTCATAGCTGCCCTGTATAGGTTTTCCTAGGCTGTAAATCCTCTCAGGAGAAGAAAGCCTCATCTTTCTCCAGTGGAGCAGCTGGTAGATTTGAACTACTGAAATTGCAGTTAACAGTGTAACATGTAATCCACTGTGCTACTGGGGATCTTTCCTTCCTACCTAGAATTGTTGTTGTTAAATACAGTCAAGTCTGATCTGACTCATAGCAACCCTGTATAAGTTTTCTGAGGAAAGGCTGGTGGGTTTGAACCATTGACCCCATGATTTCAATCAAGTGCTTATCCGACAGCACCATCAAGGCTCCTTGGTGGGTACTATGGTGGTGGTAGTTATGTGCTGTGGTATTGGTTCCGGCTCACAGCAACCTTGCATAGGGTTTCTGAGGCTGTAAATCTTTATGGGATCAGAAAGCCTCATCTTTCTCCCATGGAACCCCTGGTAGTTTCGAACTGCTGACCTTGAGATTAGCAGCCTGATTCGTAACCTCCACGTTACCAGAATAATGCTTCACAAATTGTGGGCCCCAAACTGGGAGCATCAACCTCACCTGGGAATTGTCAGAAATGCAAATTGACCAGGTCTTCATCCCAAACTTACTGAATCAGAGACTCTGGGAATGGGACCTTCAGCCTGTGTTTAACAAGTCTTGCAAGTGATTTTTATGCCTACTGCCATTTGAGAACCACTGGCCTAGACAATCAGTGAGTAGAAGGATGCAAGATAGGTTCACATTTCAAACCCAAATTTCTGGTCCAAAGAAGTTTCTCCAATGGCGGAACAGGCCACTCTCTTTCTTCAACATATATTGTTAAGTGCCGTGGAGTCAGCTCCAACCCATAGCAACCCTGAACAGGGTTTCCGAGGCTGTAAAGCTGTAAATCTTTATGGGAGCAGAAAGCCTCATCTTTCTCCCGTGGAGCAGCTGGTAGTTTTGAACTGCTTACCTTGTGGTTTTCAGCCCGATTCATAACTACTATGCTACCAGAGCTCCATATATATATCTTACTGTGTTTAGTTTGTTAGTGAAAAACAATTTTCAAATGCTATTTTTCTCTTCAGCTAGAAAGCAAGATTCTTGAAAACAAGTGTTCTGGTTGACATTTTGCTATCCTTCACCATTTAACACAGGCTAAGGCCTGTGTGTAAAAAAAAAAGTGAGTGTGTAAAAAAAGACTTGGCGTTTGAACCAGAAAACCAAATCTTTTACCTTCAAGTCAATATCAACTCATAGCAACCCCATAAGGTAGAGAACAACCACTCCCTAGAGTTTCCAAGGCTACTAATCTTTATGGAAGCAGACTACTACATTTTTCTCCCAAGGGACAGCTAGTGAGTTCGAACTGCCTACCATTCAGTTAGTTAGCGGCTGATTCACCAGAGTGCCTACCAAAAAAGAATAAGAAGAGAGAACAGATAGAATATAAAATAGCATAGTGGCTTACAGGCAGTGAAATTAAGTTAATGTTTCAAGAAACTTTATCCAGTTAAATAAATATATGTATAATGTATTTGCCATGATGTAAAGTATCATACTACATCATAGATGATCACTGACATCATTCTGCTGATTGACATAAGTCAGTCACAAGAGGACAGATACTGCGTGATCCCAGTTACATGCAATATTGGAGTCCTGGTGTGGTGCAAGCACTGGACTGAAAGGTCAGTTTGAACCACAAGGCAGCAATTCAAACCCATCATTGGCTCCTCGGAAACTCTATACAGGTTGCAATGAGTCAGAGCCGACACAATGGCATTTAACAACAACAACATATACAATACGTAGAATTGACACAAATATAGAGATCAAAGTATATTAGTGATTAGCAGGGGTTGGCAGGAGGCAGGGACAAAGAAGACACATGTTTTGGAAACACTGAATCTGGAATTGGATAAAGGAGATGATTGAGCAACATGATTAATAATGTTAAAATTGTGCAATGGCAAATATTGTATTACCTATATATTTGTCCCATGCACACAATTAAGTTGGTACTATGGATCAATGTAAAAGAATTAAGTTTGAAATACTGTATTCAAGTGCGTCTGGTCTTCCATAAATATGGGGAAGAAAAACAGAACTAACTTGTATTGAATAACTACTAGGTCTCAGGTGCTGTGGCATGTATTTTTATTGTGTTATCTTGATAGCACTTTATGGTTGGTGTTACCCCAGTTTTAGCCACAGAAGAGCCAAGGCCCATCACACAGGTACCTTTTGCCTATGGGGCTGCAGGAAGCTGGTGACAGCCCCTAGGCAGAGCCCAGGACCTATATATAGTATTTCCACACCATGGTTCTGCATAGACACTCATTTGGCTTCCTGTCTTTGGTGTTGGATGACTAATTAATTGCCTGGGGTATCTGGCGGCCCCTCCTCTTCAATATCTGTGAGGCCGAAATGGGCTTCCAATGTGGTTAATATTCAAAAGGAGCCCACCAACAAATTGTCCCAGGGATAATTACCTCAGTTCTGTTTATAGAAAACCATATGTCGATAATAGCACAATTTGCTATTCGTGAAGCGCTGATTTTCTATAAATCCAGAAAGTTAGTGTTGCTTTTCTATAAATATGGAAATGTGCTAATCATCACCTCATCTGCTGGAGATCGCTAATAAATCAGAATTCCATTTACATATTAACCTACAAAGGAACAAAAACATCTACCTTCTTACCATTTTACAAACAAAATCACCCACCCCCACTCTCCATGTTTGTCTAGTTTGCTTTCTCCACCTCATGCCCTCTCATTTTCTTTTCTTTTTAGGTGTTTATCTCTGCTTCATTTCTTTTCTTTTGCTCTCTTTTCTATCTCTTCCTGGTTTTCTTGCTTTCTTATTTGTCATTGTCTTTTTTTCCTCTGTGTCTTTAATCTATAAAATGCTAACAATATTTATATTCTTTCAGATGCTTGTTTCTAAGAAACTTCCTGTGTGGTATGCATTCATGTCCTCGAAAGGTTGAGCTTGGACTGGAATGATTTAAGTGAACACAGTGACTGGTTTACTCTAGGGGAATCTTTTGTCCTTGGATTTGTTCAGATCCTCTCTGGGTTTCTCCCAGAGGATGCACAGCTCTGTTTTCTTCTAATGTGTCCTTTAGATAAACTGCATCTCTCCCACAGATAGCGTGAAACAATGCATCTAAAATCAAGGGAAGCCTTGGATGTTGGGGAAGCATGTTAGACTTCAATGGGATCCTAGGATTTCCTCAAAGGCTGTGACTAACAACTTTCTACCTCCTACAGGAATCAGTATGACTTTGGGCTTGAATTTCTGGACTTAAATTGTTTTTCTCCTTTAGCTCATCTTTAGAAGTCTCATTATTTGTCTTTGTATCAAGGTATAGCAAACAGAATTTTGTATTAGCTTCTCTGGAGAATGGCCCAGTTACAGAGCTGCCAATTTACCCTGGGCAAGTATGTTAATTCATTGACACTATTCTATTCATGTTATTTCCTGTATCCTTTTGCACATGGTCTTTCCTCAGCCCCAAATGCTCTTCCCTGTCTTGCCAATGTAACTAACTTCGACTCATCCTTCAAAACCCTTGAACAGGGATCTCTCCTCAAGGAAATCTGTTCTGACATCCTTCTGCCCTTT